AAAATTAACGCGGTTGCACAGCATTGACGGCGTTTTACCCGTGAGATATCCGATACGCGATCTCTATGTTGTTGACTCGGAATACCGGTCTATTCGGTGTACTTCGAGTACTTCCTTATATCTACTACGCGCGTCACGTGTACGGCCTGATCGTTACATAGTATCGCCGCGTTATCATCAAACTCGCCACGCGTCGTTGTTTCCACTCTATGCGCGAGGAAAAGTAATACCGACTTTATGCGAGGTCTAGTGATTCGAATTAAACGATACTATTATTACAATCAAACTGTAGAAATTGTTTATTCTGGACAGGAAAATACCTGATACTATAATTTTCTATACAGTAATAATTATTTTTTCTGCAATCTGCATTAGAAATATTTTTTACGTAACATATTAGAACACAGAAAATAGCAGATTTGGCATTTAATATCCATGCAGGATAATTTGCAACTTGTCTTACATAAGTTGATATAAAACAGGAAGAGACTATATGTATATATAATTTATTGCAATTCTTTAAATCTTGCTATATGTATATATATTTCTGTAAGTCTAAAAATAAAATTCTACTGAAAACTCATTTGAAGTTTTAAAATATTTTATATCTTCAATAGTTATCTGTATTTTAGTTCACGATTATATAATGGTTATACAATCAGTTTCTGATAAATAAAAAATTATTTTTATCATATTTTTATAAAAAACAATTTCGTCTTAGATCTGAATAAACAATTTTTCTCAAAAATCTGAGTTTTCCATACAAATAGTTAATCTAGTCATCTTCCATCACGAAAGGATTTTAACATGATATTTGTCACTTTGACAAAACTAACTATTAATAATTAACCAAATGGGAAAAAGAGAGAGAAAGGGATAGAGACTAGTTCGGATTTGTTTTGCGAACGACAATCAGCTTCTCAGAGCGCGGATCTCGAGGCGATTTCCGTGCGGCGTTCATTAGCGATCTAACGAAGATCATAGCGCGATCGGGAAGCGTATTACACCTCGTTACACACGCACACACTCACGTGCATCGGTCTGAGGCCGGTCCCCGTGATCGCGGAGCACGCGACGATCCAGGAAACGCCGGCAGGCGGGATAACGCGGACGACACAAGGGGCCCTTAACAAGCCTGGACGAGAGAGGCACATGCGCGAGCGCAATGCTGCACCCAACTAGGCTGACTTTCCGAGACCGCCCGCATTGACGACGGGAAGGGAAAGGAAGAGAGAAAGGGTGGAAGGGGGGGATAATAAGAAGCATACACCTCGCACCGGTATAATGAGAAATATGGCGCGACCGCTAATACACCGGCCCGAGCTAATACTTTTTGTCGTGGCGCAAAGCTTCCCCTCGTTTTTAGAGCATTGCTTTCCAACTATTTCTGAGCGGCAGAATTCGCTTCTGATTGCTAAAAAAAAAAATGCTAACACGTAAACATACTCGTGCATTTGATTTTGCTAACATCATTAATTAGTGTTAAAAGCATGATTACGAAATAATAGCAATGAAATAATCAAGAACGCAAGTATCATTTATACTATCTTTATGTAGCTGTTTTTTATATAGATATTTAGAAGATTTTTAGAAGATAATTTCTAGGAAATCTATTAAGAATAGACTGCGTATATTCAAAATATTTTTTGTGAAGAAAAATAATCTTCGATACTGTAGTTATTTATCAATTATCAATAATAGCATTGAGGATTAGGCCTAGACGTGATAAATATTCGAATTTAATTACGCTCTCCTGGTTAGAATCGAGCATCGCGATTTCGCGGTAAATCGTACTAAGCGAAGCGCGTACTTTTATTGTTCACGTTATCGCAAAAAGTGAATAAGAGTTCATCGACCGCATCCGATTGCGACATTGACACTTGACCTTGTCAATCGAGATACGGCCCTCGAATTTGAAAGAAAAAAATATAAGAAAAGATATTCTTTATTTCAATAACTTCATAAATGTTTGTTAAATGTTAATCGATACCACATTTAAGGATCAAAGACATATTGATTATTTATTTTAGCTTGGATTGAAATAAGATTATAATCGATATCTTGAAATAATTTCATAATCTTTCAGAGATATTTGATATTTTTCTTTATTATTTCAGAATCAAATCCGTTTATTTTTCTATATAAGAAAATATCGACATTATAAATGATTCAAAAAATAAGATTTTTTTGCAAATTGAGTTTTAGATATATAAATTCAACTTAATACGTATAACAAAAATTATATGATGTACACAAATTCGCAAAAAAGAAACCGAACAACCCGTAGCGAGTGTCGATTGTAAAATAATGCAAGCTCCAAGTCGAGTCCTAAGATAATTGCCTCGGTTTAGAGGCCATTAATTTTACATCTGCCGTTACTCGTGAAACGCACATTAGTGTAGATTACTGTAGATTAATTATGCATCTGACTCTCGAACGCTTTTGGACGATTCTAAAAATGATCGGGCTGTCAGAGCAGACAGGGGAGAAGATATCGAAGATGCGAATTAATTTCGATTGCCGCGTTGGCGATACGCGGAAAGCGGAAACGCTCGTAACTTTGCGACGGTTCGCTGCGTTTAGCTTTATCTGCCGTGTCTATCCCGTACTTCGCTCGTAGTGTGTGGCATATTAAGTTGCTTTCCTGAAACTGCGCATAAACAAGATAGAAGCGCGATCCCCCCGTATACCGCTTTTAGTGTATCTACGTGACCTAGCGTAATATAGTGACCGCGCGGGATTCCGCAACGCGGAGGCTTAACAGATCAGTTTGTGTGCTCTGGTGATCATTTTTTAATTCTCTCTTAAACCTGACTAGTTTTACAGAATCATAGAAATAATAGAAATAAACAATGAAACGTTTCAGTTAATTCCGAGATTTTTACTGAGATCCTAAATGTCGAACTTTAGAAGATTCTAAACAATAATCTCTGGCAAACGTATATATATATATATATACATATGTGATCTCGCGCTATTGATTCGCGTAAATTAAGATACACTATGTATACGTACCCTTCGCGATGAAAGGCTTCAACACGTGTTAAAAATGCAGCGGAGGAAGCCAGCGGGATGCAACGCTTGCTTTGCGTAGCGCATAAGAGAGGGGTCATTAATACAATTAATAATTAGCTAGTAATAGAGGAATGATTGAGTCCTGCGTATACACACACCAATACCGTTACAATCCCGCATATCGCATTAAGAGAATTGCGAGAGACAGCGAAGGCGCGTCCTTCAATGAAATCGTCCCCCCCCCCCCCCTCCTGTTCCCCACGGGTTCGAGATAACGACGGCTCACTGATCTCGATGATGTCAAGGTCACTGAGACCGTTGCTACCTTCTCCGGGGGAGGAAGGAGGAGGGAGGGGGGGGGGGAAATCCTCGTTAAGATTATTGTTACGCGATCAATGGCCAAATTTAGCCGTGATTAATACCGGCATATATTAGACAACACGCAAGGAAAAAAAAATGGATCGATTGCATGGGGTAACGATTAATTTCGTGCCGTTAGTCTGCGGCAGGATCTGCTAATTAAATATGTTACACATTGATATCGAGAGAACTGCAGAAGTTAGACACAAGTTAGGCGTATTACATAGCTCGTATAGCGCTATGGCGCTGCTTGATATCTCGGCTTTCGTCGATCGCGCGATTCGCTCCTACTCTGGCTGTGAGAAATCCGAGAATCCTCATATTTATTATATGTAAAATATCGGCGTAAGGAACACAAATTCATTCAAACGTAATAATAAGCAAGATAATACATTTCTGACAAAGAGTTATTCGCATATCGCTAGAAGTTAATATTTCCCAGTAACTACAGTTTTATTGCGGCGTGATAAATTTTACGTACTCATTCAAGATTCAAGATACGCGGACACATTTGCTGTAAATGTTGCGATAGCGAGCCGGAATCCATAAAATTCGTCGCGCGACGTATCGACTCTGTCGAAAGCATCATAAAAAAAAAAAAGAAATCTTACAGGAGTAAAAAATCATATGGGGAGAATGCAAACGCGCGCGCAATCTTAATTAAACCCGTTGACAGCTCCGAAATTTCTCGCGTCTCCCATCTCTGAGAGATTAAAGCATGCGACGCTGCCGTGTCGCGCGCATCAGCGGAATTTCGCACGACCGCGCGCATAATTTCCCGGCCAGGACGCTTCTTGGAAGCGGTCGCGTCGAGGGACGAGAAGGCAGCGAGAGAACGAGAGAGAGAGGAGTCGCCGCGAATAATTTCCACAATCTGGGATCGCTCTCTAGGGCCGTAATTTTTTCTGAGATGTAAGACATCGCGCGGCATCACCAAGTAAAATCATTTTGCGCGATCTCTCTCTCTCTCTTGGTTCTCTCCTCTCCGTTCTTTCTCTCTCCTTTCCACGACTGCAGGCTTTTCGTGCACTTTTATAGTGGCAACGCGCATTAAATTCTGGCCGTGTATGCGCGCTCGTATCGTGAATCGTACCGGAAGATCGTCCTTGCGGACACGTCCCGTCGCGTAACCTCCGCGTTTTATCAGATTTTAATTCGGCAAACGGTACTTGGTCCTGGAGCGCGCGTGGTATTCGGTCGTCGCGTCGCGGTGTACTGTTAGACGAATATGGAAGGGCCGGTTTTATTGAAGGTCGCCGGTTAACTAAATCTATTTCTATATGCTTTCTGTTTCTTTTGTAAAATATAACTTAGAGTTTTTCTGTGTATTAAAAAAATTAAAAAAATTAAATTAAAAATTAAAAAAATTACAAGCTCATCTATTGGGCTAATTTAAATGTCTGCAAAATTTAATTAATATAATACATTTTCAAGAATGTCTATGCAGGGAAATCTTATTATATTATATATGTTATATTGTTGTATATTATATATATCGCTTTTTTAAAACGCAGCCGATACACTTGGGCCTAAAAAATCAAGCAGCGCCATTTCTTTCGATCTCTCTCGCTACATATGCAGGATATGTATCGCAGTTTGTATGGTGTGATATTGCCTGGACTCACCGATCCTCTTCACGTGGACGTCTCGATTGAAGGAGACGCTCCTCTCGCCGGGCTCGGAGACGGAAGCCCTGGGCGCAACGGGGGGTAGTAAATGCGTGCCGGGAGGGTTGCAGCCTTCTCCCCCTCTTAGCAATTCCGAGCGCTGTATCGTGAGCATGTTGCCTCTCAACCTTTTCTCCCGATCATACCACACGACCGGCTAGGGACACCGTTTCCCGTTTCGTTCGCCCCAAGCCCCGTTTCGTGCTTTTGTGCTTACACTTTTTTTTTATCACCCTACCCCCGAAGAGCGTTCTCACCCCCGATCTTATCTTCCCCTTTTCCCCTTTCCTGCTCTCACGAGCACACCCGTAGACCCGATCACCGACCTGTAAGCCAAGCAAAGCTGTGCTTTTAATATTCAAGATAATCTCGTCGACAGAGATTTATACGAGTTTAATTCCTTTTTCGTCCAGTTGCTCCAGTCTGAAATCGTCCGTTCGTTCGATCGAAATGAGAGTTTGTTTGGAAACTTGCGTTCTACGATACGCGAACAATAGAACTTTTCAAGAGCGTAAGAATAACTTAATTAAGACGTTTTTATAATTTTAATTTTAAACGTTCAACAATTATACAATTGCGTAAGTTGATAGGGCATATCAATTGTAACAAGCCCCACTAGACTTACTCCGCTTTCCAAACAAACAATCGGCTGAATTGTTCCTCAGTCGTCATGAGAGTGCAGGTTTTACGTTCGAGAAATGCGCGCTTTCTGTATATGACATTTCCACGCACGCGTATGCGTTCGTGCGTGCGATGCGCGCGTATGCATGCGTGAAAAACGTGAGAGAAAGAGAAGTGATAGGCATCGTGCGTTCCCGGGCGAGACGTGTCTATATGCTAGCGCATGCCAACTGTAGGATAGACGATGATAAACGCAACGAGTGATAATGGCTCTCTTTGTCGTCATGCACAGGCAGATGGGATACTCGAGATACCGTGCAGCGATATAATGACAGTGACAGGGATGACGGTGACGGTGCATAATATCGGCAATGGATTCGCTTGATGAGAACTTTGCTAATAGGAGCGATTGTGCCGATAAGGCCGCCGCCGCCGCCGTCGTAGCGCATTTTCCTTACATCCGTCCGCATTAAGCGTTATCGTAATTATGGCCGGGATTCTGGACGTAACTCCGTGGTTTTCCTATCGATCGCTACGATCTAAACGCAACGACACCTAATTTAAATTTCATAGAGGCTGAGAAGCTTCAAAGCCTCCACATTGCCGGCTCGGGGCAACAAGATACGAAAGTCGACTTGATTTTAATTAATTCCCGATACGGCGCGAATAAATTGTTCATTTTCGTTTCCGTCATATTTTGTCGTCTGTCACGAGTAAATGTCACTCTCGCGCGAGAGGAATTTATTCGTTAAACGAAAATATTTCCTCACACTCGTAGATTGTTTTTTTATTGAAACTTCAAATTCCAGTAGGCGTCCACGAATTAATTAATAGCCGATAGTAAATAGTTTGTCTGTTTCCAATACTCGGAATCTAAAATTCTTTCTCAAGAGTAATCACACAGCTATTTGTATATTCCTTTATAATGTTGTGACGAAAAAGGGTAGAACGCATTGCAAGGCAATAAAACCCTATCAAACACACGCGATAGAATCCTTCTCTTGGAAAATAAAAAAACAAGGGACGCGCAGTCCCAAATATGTCGACACCAAGAGATCCTAATCGACGAGACCCCGTAACTGATCAAAGTATTAGTTACGCTTCAATGATCGGCCGCCATGGGACGTCATTCCGTTTTCACGAATTCACGTAAATCGATAAGGCAATCAATCTCGGGCCCCGTGACGTATATAGAAGCAAAACGGTTGGACATGGTCACCTCGATAAAAACGGTTCTAAAAATACCGCTGACGACGGTCACTCGAACGACACTCAAGCGGAAGCGTCGGGACTGCTCATTATCATTATAAGCGTTTTATTTCACTAGATGTTTTTCGCGCTATCGTGTAAAAACAACGTCCCCCTTTTTTCAAGAAGTCGGCCTTCGTCGCGATTCTTTTACTGTGCGCGAAGTGGTTTCGATTGCATTCGATGCGCACACATTGTATTCCAAAGTTCATCTCTAATAATCAATAAATAGCTTATTAACATTTAAAAAATGTTTACTGCATCTCTTAAAAATCTTTCATAAAGCTCTTTATCCAAAATATACAATTAAAAGAATTTTTTTGTTAAACTTTAAACATCAAATATTTCATTGGTAGAGCGCAGGCTTTGCAACTTGAATAAAGAACTGTCTTATTTTGCGGAATATTTACAATTATTAAGGATGTTAAAACGTTCTATTGACCACGACAGAGGCTTTTCAAGATAACCGCTGTAAAAGAAATTAACATTCGTCGTGCGTTTTTGTCCGCTCGCGGTGGGGCTATCTGCCCTTGAAACAAATAAAGGTGACCCTGCACACACGCGCGCGCGTACGCGTCCATCTCTCAAGGCCATCTGACCGGAGAGTGACACGTTGCCTTGGCGGGTTCTCGCACGCGTGACGCATGGGGGTGAGCCGTCGCTCAACGACTTTATTAGCCCCGGGAGAGCGCAAGGGGAGAGAGAGAGAGAGAGAGAGAGAGAGAGAACGCCGTGTTTCAAATGAGACAATTCCGCATGAACCCGATCCACGGGAATTAAGATATACGCATACTCGGGGGGCTCGCGGTAGCCATATTTGGCGAAGAGGACCGCAGAGGCCCCCCTGGCCGTCCTCCGCGGGGACCCCGCTATAAAAACTGGCGTTAATATATTTTTTTTTCGGGATTCGAGAGTTTACGACGGGACCCTCTCGCGCATCGAGACTCCCACGCGCCTTCTAGTCGCCCTAATCGCGTGGAGAAACGCTCGATAGCTCGATTCGATCCGGTGGGGGGCGAGAAAAAAAAGAAAGAAAATCGGCAACGATCCGCAGATTTCGACCGGACCGCGTCTAATGTACGAGAAGGCCCTCTAATGCGTCCTTCGTTACTCACCAGTGACGCTGGATAACAATAAAACGAAGGACAAGAATGTCGCTAAGTGCGGCGACACGACACGGCTATATTCTCGCGATTTTAATTCCGCCCTATGCATTCCACGGCGTATATTTTTTTCTTCCTTACGGGGAAGAAGTCGGGAATTAAGATAGTTGACGGCGAGCGAGGAAAATTACGTCGAGTTATGCGAAAACAACATCGTGTCGCATCTTTCGTAAAAAATACTTTTAAAATACGTCCGAGATCTCATGCTATTTTTTTGTCGCATTATTGCTGCGCAAGGATAATATTATATTCGTATTACTTTGTAAATTTTGCAACGACAATGAAGATTATTCTCCATTTCTTAAATGCAACAAATAGAAAGATAAATTCAATTCAATTTGCTTTTTTAGCATTGCAAATACTGGTAGCGAGAACGTTGTAATTTCGTCGTGTTGACACACACGCGATATGCAGGATCCTTTAATGCGTGTTATTTGCGGCTTCCTGATGTTGCATAACAGCACGAACAGGAATAATAAAAACGTAGCTTCTCTGTCGGAGCGTGCGACAACGTTCACATTCCGAATTTTGCGGTGATTTCACGTCGCGATGTCCTCGGTGGTCGGTCATTAGCGGAGGTCCCGGACAAAAGCGTGATCAAATTCGTTCTCTTCTCTCGCGTGTTAAAATCGCAATATCCGGAATGATAAAATAAAAGTAAAAGATCAGAGAGAGAATATTAAAAACCGCACGAAGATCAGACCGAGGTCGCGCGTGTTCTCGTGTTCTCGCATCTCGTTCCAAATGTTTCCTCTCTAACGGTCTCTCTCCGCGCCCGCCTTTGAAATATTTCACGTTCGTCACGGGATAACAGCGCGAAAATCGGAATCGCGCCGACAATAAAACCACATCAAGCCGCGGTTATACGACACACTAGTTTCTAGCCCTATAACGCGCGCGTTCGGATACCGCGCGACGTAATAAACACTCCCGTTTCGCGCGCAAAACGTTTAGCACCTTCTTCAATGACTTTTATTGACGTGTAGAAGCTCGATAATAAAATCGAGGTAGCGTCCGTTCTCCCTTCCCTCTCCACCCTTCCCCCACGATCAGACGCGAAGGATCCGCTTGACCCTCGGAGGTGCGAAGCCTCGCGTCCGCGATCGCAATTTAACCGCTATTAGAAAGCTGCCGCTGGATTATAGAGCACGAGAGAATCCAAGTAAAGCGACAACGTAGGTGTGGTTTATACACGTTACTGTATAGAAAAACCTCATATAATTTCCACATAACTGTACTAAATTTAATAGATTTGAAACTTAAATTTTTAGACTTTATTTAGCAATACGAAATTTTTACTTGCATAGATCTTAGAAGAAAATTGCTAAACTAATATATTTATAAAATTTCATTACAAGTTAAAAAATTCCATTTTATTACTTTTAATAATTCAACAATTAAATATTTTAATAACTAGTAGCGATTTTGTTTCTTACATAAATTCTCACAAAAGTCTTAATTAGTAGTCTTAAAAGATCTCAATTTATTCTATATTCGCAGCTTTTATCCGCTTGAATCAAGATTCCGATTAATTAAGTCATTAACGTTTAATGACATGTATCCTTATTGATTTTTAGATCAATATAAAATTCTACAATCTTGAATGATCAGAAGAGATTATTTTTCACACGAATTCGAAGATTTAAAAATTAAGATAATTGTCCCTCCATGGAGTCTCTCTCGTTTGGACCGCTCGTTGAACACGCTCGTTCGCGAAAACAAGTTGATGAGACTCGTTTTTATCTCTCGTTACTTTTTCGTTGGCGAAGCGGCACGTTTTACAGTTAATACCGCCAGACTGTCCAATAAATTTGCGTGGACATCGTATAGTATGACCGAAAAAAAAAAGAATACGCCGGTCCCGACTGGACGCTCATTACGAGCGCCGCGCCGTGCGGTATTTCCGCGTGCGCGCCCGGGTGCTTATTTTTCTCGACGCTCTCTGGCACAAACTCGAAACTCGCCTTTCGTTTCTAGCCGTCGCCCCGTTACGCCGCACAGTCGGAGAATCGACGAGGCCGGGGGAAAGATTTTAATTTAGATCGCTGCGCGGCGCGCACTCGAGGAGAAGAATCGCGCCGCGCTCGTGTAAAGGCCGGGAGGAAACCTCGCGCGCGCGCGCGCGCGCGCGCGTTCTCGGGGCACCGGCACTTATAAAATTTCTGCTTCGACGCTGCCCTTCCCGACGCTCCACGTAGATCCCTGTGAACTTTATCTCCTAACGGCTTACAAGTACTCTGTTCGCGGGACGAATCCTCTGCGTTTACGCCCGACAATTTGCCAATAGATCGTATCTCGCTTTCAGAATTTTCCAGTTCGTTCGTCACGGTCGTTTCTTTTTCGGTCTTTTGAAATCTGTCGCGACTTTTTAATTTCTTCACATTTCACGTTTCTGAAACGCGTGAGATAAGATTTTCCGACATTAAACGTGAAAATTTTCAGAACTCAGCTCCATGTAAAATAATTCATTTTGATACGTTATCAAAATTATAATGTAAAGCTCCAATATTTAATACTTTGCGACGATACTCAAGATATTCATTTATGAATTCATAATCATATTTTGTGTTTCGACTATTTGGAAAGATATAGATGGTGTTATCATAAATTAGTGTCATGGCATGTCTGCAGAAAGATTAAGGTTTTGACGCTACAAGCCAAATATAAAACGCGATTTTATCAGTATGGCATACGACAGGATAATATAATTATATTGTAGAAACAATTTTTTATAGTACAGTTAATGATTTTTTTTTATGTTTTAACTTCCTTGACATGAGAATCTTTCTAAAAGTTTTCCATAACAATCGATATAATCTTTTGTGTTCGATTTTAAAAAAATCGGGCGATAAATCATGCGAGATAGCAAACCGTCACTGTATCGCTCAAACCAACGCGGAAATATGACTCAAAACTAATAGAACACGCCGTGACACGGTACGCGCGCGACGAGCATGACGCAGATGCCAGAAATGGAAATGGAAGTCGCACAAGTCGCGCGCGAGAAGGAAAAAAAAACCCCGGCGCGATCGCTTTATTTGCGTAACCGCTATTACGTTCCGCGCGCACCTTCTTCGTCGCTCGATTATGCGAGGCGGCCCACCGCTTTATCCGCGGCCTGCCGGAGAAATCTGGACGCGCCACGCGAAGGGTCACGTTACGTGCGGGTGCATTATGGTGAATGGATCCACAGCAACGGCGATTCCCATCGAAGACGGCCGTCCCGTCTCTTTCTCGCTCGCTCGCTCGCCCGCGCGCGCGAGTAACACTGACACACTTCGTACACGTCAAGGCCGAAAGTTCTCCCGGTACACGGTGCTTATCGTTGCACCGTCTCGCGGTATTCGTCTTCTTTATATCCGCGTATACGTCTCAATCGCGACTACACGCGACGCACGTCCGCCCGCCGCGTACGGCTGAAACGCCGTGCGATAAAACGGCGTATCGGGGTATATTCAGCGAGAGGATTTGCACCTCGAGCTGATGGGCGTGATCTTCATCTCGCGAGTGCGGACAGGCGAAAGGGCGAAAGGAAAACAGTGAAAAAGGAGCAATCGCGAGGAGTTCTGCGCATTGAACTTACCTAGAGCGAACAGTTCTTATGACAAGAGACGTCGCAACA